CTGCTGTATATAGTCAACTTTGTGATTTGGTGGATCAGATAAACAACTAATTCATGATAGTTCAAAATTGCAATATCACTTGATGCTACATGGTGTAGGCTTTCACCCTCTACTAGCGCTTGGGAATAAGCCAAGTGCTGCCTTTCAAATGAAGAGTCATCATTAAGAAACAAAGGGAGAAGAACCAAATTAACAAAATTAGAAACGAAAATGGAGAGATCACAACAGACAACACCGAAATACAAAGGATCATAAGAGACTACTACCAGCAGCTCTATGCCAATAAAATGGACAACTTGGAAGAAATGGACAAGTTCTTAGAGAAGTATAACTTTCCAAAACTGAACCAGGAAGAAATAGAAGATCTTAACAAAACCATCACAAGCAAGGAAATCGAAACTGTAATCAGAAATCTTCCAGCAAACAAAAGCCCAGGACCAGATGGCTTCACAGCTGAATTCTACCAAAAATTTAGAGAAGAGCTAACACCTATCTTACTCAAACTCTTCCAGAAAATTGCAGAAGAAGGTAAACTTCCAAACTCATTCTATGAGGCCACCATCACCCTAATTCCAAAACCAGACAAAGATGCCACAAAAAAAGAAAACTACAGGTTAATATCACTGATGAACATAGATGCAAAAATCCTTAACAAAATTCTAGCCAACAGAATCCAACAACATATTAAAAAAATCATACATCATGACCAAGTGGGCTTTATCCCAGGAATGCAAGGATTCTTTAATATCCGCAAATCAATGTAATACACCACATTAACAAATTGAAAGATAAAAACCATATGATTATCTCAATAGATGCAGAAAAAGCCTTTGACAAAATTCAACATCCATTTATGATTAAAACTCTCCAGAAAGCAGGAATAGAAGGAACATACCTCAACATAATAAAAGCTATATATGACAAACCCACAGCAAGCATCACCCTCAATGGTGAAAAATTGAAAGCATTTCCCCTGAAATCAGGAACAAGACAAGGGTGCCCACTCTCACCACTACTATTCAACATAGTTTTGGAAGTTTTGGCCACAGCAATCAGAGCAGAAAAAGAAGTAAAAGGAATCCAGATAGGAAAAGAAGAAGTGAAACTCTCGCTGTTTGCAGATGACATGATCCTCTACATAGAAAATCCTAAAGACTCTACCAGAAAATTACTAGAGCTAATCAACGAATACAGTAAAGTTGCAGGATATAAAATTAACACACAGAAATCTCTTGCATTCCTATACACTAACAATGAGAAAACAGAAAGAGAAATTAAGGAAACAATACCATTCACCATTGCAACAAAAAGAATAAAATACTTAGGAGTATATCTACCTAAAGAAACAAAAGACCTATACATAGAAAACTATAAAACACTGATGAAAGAAATCAAAGAGGACACAAACAGATGGAGAAATATACCGTGTTCATGGATTGGAAGAATCAATATTGTCAAAATGGCTATACTACCCAAAGCAATCTATAGATTCAATGCAATCCCTATCAAACTACCAACGGTATTTTTCACAGAACTAGAACGAATAATTTCACAATTTGTATGGAAATACAAAAAACCTCAAATAGCCAAAGTAATCCTGAGAAAGAAGAATGGAACTGGAGGAATCAATCTGCCTGACTTCAGACTATACTACAAAGCCACAGTCATCAAGACAGTATGGTACTGGCACAAAGACAGAAATATAGATCAATGGAACAGAATAGAAAGCCCAGAGATAAATCCACGAACCTATGGTCACCTTATCTTTGACAAAGGAGGCAAGGATATACAATGGAAAAAAGACAACCTCTTTAACAAGTGGTGCTGGGAAAACTGGTCAACCACCTGTAAAAGAATGAAACTAGAACACTTTCTAACACCATACACAAAAATAAACTCAAAATGGATTAAAGATCTAAATGTAAGACCAGAAACTATAAAACTCCTAGAGGAGAACATAGGCAAAACACTCTCCGACATAAATCACAGCAGGATCCTCTATGACCCACATCCCAGAATTTTAGAAATAAAAGCAAAAATAAACAAATGGGACCTAATGAAACTTAAAAGCTTTTGCACAACAAAGGAAACTATAAGCAAGGTGAAAAGACAGCCCTCAGATTGGGAGAAAATAATAGCAAACGAAGCAACAGACAAAGGATTAATCTCAAAAATATACAAGCAACTCCTCCAGCTCAACTCCAGAAAAATAAATGACCCAATCAAAAAATGGGCCAAAGAACTGAACAGACATTTCTCCAAGGAAGACATACAGATGGCTAACAAACACATGAAAAGATGTTCAACATCACTCATTATCAGAGAAATGCAAATCAAAACCACAATGAGGTACCATTACACACCAGTCAGGATGGCTGCTATCCAAAAGTCTACAAGCAATAAATGCTGGAGAGGGTGTGGAGAAAAGGGAACCCTCTTACACTGTTGGTGGGAATGCAAATTAGTACAGCCACTATGGAAAACAGTGTGGAGATTTCTTAAAAAGCTGGAAATAGAACTGCCATATGATCCAGCAATCCCACTTCTGGGCATACACACCGAGGAAACCAGATCTGAAAGAGACACGTGCACCCCAATGTTCATCGCAGCACTGTTTATAATAGCCAGGACATGGAAGCAACCTAGATGTCCATCAGCAGACGAATGGATGAGGAAGCTGTGGTACATATACACCATGGAATATTACTCAGCCATTAAAAAGAATTCATTTGAATCAGTTCTAATGAGATGGATGAAACTGGAGCCCATTATACAGAGCGAAGTAAGCCAGAAAGATAAAGACCATTACAGTATACTAACACATATATATGGAATTTAGAAAGATGGTAACGATAACCCTATGTGCAAAACAGAAAAAGAGACTCAGATGTATAGAACAGACTTGTGGACTCTGGGAGAAGGCGAGGGTGGGATGTTTCAAGAGAACAGCATTGAAACATGTATATTATCTAGGGTGAAACACATCACCAGCCCAGGTTGGGTGCATGAGACAAGTGCTCGGGCCTGGTGCACTGGGAAGACCCAGAGGGATTGGGTGGAGAGGGAGGTGGGAGGGGGGACCGGGATGGGGAATACATGTAAATCCATGGCTAATTCATTTCAATGTATGACAAAAACCACTACAATGATGTAAAGTAATTAGCCTCCAACTAATAAAAATAAATGGAAAAAAAAAAAAAGAAGACAAATGAAGAGTCATTATTGATAAAAGAGGGCATGGTTTGTTGAAGGCACATTTGTGTTACCAACTGAAGGTATCTCCCGCAAATTCTCTTACAGGAGAGGTGCTGAGTCAGATTTTGAAGAATGACTTAATACTTACTGGTTGAGTAGACAAGCTATTGAACAGCATGTACATAGATAAGAAAAAGTGACATAACAGAGTATTAATGTAGGGGACTTCCCTGGTGGTCCAGTGGTTAAGAATTTGTCTTCCAATGCAGGGGATGCAGGTTTGATCCCTGGCCTGGGAACTAAGATCTCACATGCCCCAGGGCAACTAAGCCTGCATGCCACAACTAGATAACTCTTGCACTGCAATGAAGATCCTGTGTGCCACAACTAAGACCCAGCACAGCCAAATAAATTAATAAGTAGATATAAAAAAAAAAAAAACCCAGATGATGTAATACCTATCTGCTGCTGCTGGTGCTGCTAAGTCGCTTCAGTCATGTCCGACTCTGTGCGACCCCATAGACGGCAGCCCACCAGGCTCCCCGTCCCTGGGATTCTCCAGGCAAGAACACTGGAGTGGGTTGCCATTTCCTTCTCCACTGCATGAAAGTGAAAAGTGAAAGTGAAGTCGCTCAGTCGTGTCCTACTCTTAGCTACCCTATGGACTGCAACCTACCAGGCTCCTCCGTCCATGAGATTTGCCAGGCAAGTGTACTGGAGTGGGGTGCCATTGCCTGCTCCGAATACCTATCTATTAGAGTTATAAAAAAAGAATATCGTCCCACCGCAAAGCGCGCGGAAGCGCGCGGCCCTCTTCGTGCAGGCATCAGGTGCACACTCTGGAGCGCGGGTTGCGCGGCGTGCCCGTAAGCGCCGGGACCCCCAACCGCCTCCCCCTTCTGCCCACCAGGCTCCCCTGGGATCTCCTCGGGCTCCCGGGGCTGGAGTGGCGGGGCGGAGAGGAGTTCGTATACTTAACCGGCTCCTGGCCCCTCTGGACTCCGCGTGGCCCGGCAGGCGGGGGAGCCGGGAACCACTGCCCCAGCCCACCGGCCTTCGAAAGATCTTCCTGGGCCAGTGGCAGGAGGAGCGACGCGCCTGGATTGGTGCAGTCGCTCTGCTGATCACTGTGGAAACCCAGGCGGAGGGGAACAAGGGAGGATGTGGTAACCGGGCCAGGGTCACCGGAGGGGCGGTTAGAGGAGGCTTCGAGGCCCTGAGCTACCCAGGAGTTCTCTCTGGCGGCAAAAGTCCACTGCGAGGTGGGGGAGGGGATCGGAGGGAGGGGACCGCTTGGGGGCACTTGGAAGCGGAAAGGAAAGTCTAGGATACTCGGAACAGAGGCGAGGAGGCTGGGGGAGGGGATGTCATGGGAGGAGGAGGAGGAGACAAAAGCTAAAAGGGCCCGGACCGCACTCACCGCAGTGCACTGGGCCACCTGGTCAGCAGGCAGCATGGGGAAGGCGGGGAACCAGGGCGAGGGGGCCACCGAGCTTGAGGCGCCGATGCCTCAAGGAGATTCAGAAGAACAACCTGCACACCCATAATTGACTGGTCATCGATCGCAAGGTCTACATCACCAAATGGTCCAGCCGGCACCCGGGGAGCCAGTGAGTCATCGGACACTACGCCAGGGAAGATGCTAAGGACGCCTTCCTGGCCTTCCACGCAACCTTGATTTTGTGCGCAAGTTCATGAAGCCCCTGTTGATTGGCGAGCTGGCTGCTGAGGAGCCAAGCCAGGACCGCGGCAAGAATTTCCAGATCACCGAGGACTTCCGGGCCCTGAGGAAGACCGCTGAGGACATGAACCTGTTCAAGAATAACCAGTTCTTCTTCCTTCTCCACCTGGCCCACATTATCTCCATGGAGAGCATCGGCTGGTTCACTATCTTCTACTTTGGCAACAGCTGGATTCCAACCATCATTACGGCCTTGCTCCTTGCTACCTCTCAGGCCCAGGCTGGATGGCTGCAACACGATTACGGCCACCTCTCTATTTACAAGAATTCCATGTGGAACCATATTGTATACAAGTTCATCTTCGGTCACTTAAAGGGTGCCTCTGCCAACTGGTGGAACCATCGCCACTTCCAGCACCACGCCAAATGTGTTCCACAAGGATCCGGCTGTGAACATGCTACATGTGTTTGTCCTGGGCGAGTGACATCCCATTGCATATGACAAGAAGAAGCTGAAATGCCTGCCTTACAACCACCAGCGTGAGTACTTCTTCCTGATCGGGCCGCCGCTGCTCATCCCTTTGTACTTCCACTACCAGACCATCATGACCATGATTGTTTGCAAGGACTGGGTGGACTTGGCCTGGGCCATCAGCTACTATACCCATTTCTTCATCACCTACATCCCTTTTTGTGATGTCCTGGGAGCCATCCTTTTCCTCAACTTCATCAGGTTCCTGGAGAGCCATTGGTTTGTGTGGGTCACACAGATGAATCGCATCGTCATGGAGATTGACTGAGAGCCCTACCGTGACTGGTTCAGCAGTCAGCTGGCAGCCACCTGCAACGTGGAATCGTCCTCCTTCAATGACTGGCTCAGTGGGCACCTCAACTTCCAGATTGAACACCACCTTTTCCCTACCATGCCCTGGCACAACCTGCACAAGATCACTCCGCTGGTGAGGTCCCTGCGTGCCAAGCACGGCATTGAGTACCAGGAGAAGCCGCTGCTCCGGGCCCTGCAAGATATCATCGGGTCCCTGAGGAAGTCTGGGCAGCTGTGGCTGGATGCCTACCTCCACAAACGAAGCTGCAGCCCTCAGGGCCCCCACGGGGACAGTGGGTGGGGGGAGCAGGTGGGGGTGGTGGCCGAAGGGGAAGGTGGGTTTTGTTCAGAGGGGCGTCTGGAGGCTGTGGTGCTCGGCTCACAGACCTCAGGCTTGGTCTTTCCTCTCTTCCTGTCTGGTTTCAAGGCTTTCACACCTCCCTCTGACACCCTCCCTCCTGGGTCCCGCCCGGTTAGCCCACCTCCACCCTCTGTCCTTAAGCATCTGCCAGACCAGACGTGCACAGGTGCAGCCTATGAGCCCCCTGCAGCCTGGCCTCCAGGCCACACACCACCCACTTTTTCTCCCTCACCTGCTCTTCAGGTCCGCAGGGCTGGGTCTCAGCCAGCAGGTAGGATGGCTCCGTGAGCCTGCAGGCTGGCCCCACTCCCTTGGACAGCCGCCTACCCTCTGCCCTTCTGTGGGGTGTTATGCTTGATTCCTTGGGTCTCCTTCCCACTACCGGATCTGTACTGAGGGCGCCCCTGCAGGCCCCACTTTCTCTTCAGGTGTCCAGGGCCCTGGCCCTGACGCCAGGCTCCCTTCGCCTGTGTTGCAGCCAGCTCAAGCCTCCGAGCCCAGGGAAACATCCTGGCCTCACCGGAGCCCTCTGACCCAGGACTTGAGCAGTTCCACTCCACCACCTCCCAAGTCCAGAGCCTGTGACCTTGGGTTCATGGGGGCAGGGCCACAGATGAGCTCAGCAGAAGCAATGGCCAGGTCAGGGCTGAGCCGGCCTGTAGGCTCAGATGTTTGTTCTGGTTGGGAGGCCCAAGGTTCTGGAGCAATCGGACTATCCCCCAGAGTGCTCTGTTAGTGCCAGACAGTGCCAGCCAGTCCCCAGCCACTTAGCTGGTGTGGACTTAGGCCCTACAGGCTGCAAGTGGGCACTGGAGCCCAGAAGCTCATCATAGCCCCTCCCCATGTTGGGGCTGCCCATGTGGACATGCTCTTTTCCCCGTCTATCATGCTCTTGTGTCTTTTACTCGTTTTTTAACCTTTTGCTACAGGATGAGTTTTGCTGGGAGTGGCAGTGGGACTGGGCCTTGGGACGATCTGCCTGTTCCCACCCCTCACCCCCTCTGCATCCTCCCCAGGCCCCACAGTGGGCTGAGCTGGGCTCTCTCACTGAGGCCTCCATGGCCCCGACTGTCAGGAGACAGAGGGAAGGAGTCCCAGAGGAGGGTTACCCTGAGAAGCTGGGGACTTGGTGGTGGTGGGGGTACCCAATGGGACAAGGAGGGGTTGGGGCTGAAGGCCAGACAGCTGAAGGGACAGGAAAGTGAGAGGGTGGGAACCTGGCAGCCACTGGGAGGATCCAGAACTGCTGCCTGGAAATGAACCCACTAACCCATAGATAGCTCCAGGGAAGGGTGGGGCAGGAGGGACCAGCTCTGGCTGGAGATGGACCTGCGGGTTACCATGGCAACAAGGGATCGGCCTGCCTGAAGCCCTCCCATTGAGGGCCACTGAGAGCCACTGTCTCGCCCCTGAGGCAGAATGGATACTTAATTTTTATCATGTTGCTTTCCCACCTCTACACTTTTGGAAATAAATGAAGTGATTTTATTCTCAAAAAAAAAAAAAAAAAGAAAATACTAATGTCATTGGTATTTCTGGATTATGGGGTGAAGGCAATGTGTTCAGTGTCTGGGTCATGGGGGCCCACTGAACCCTGGTGGAGGAAGGTATTGAATTCTTTAAAGCAGAGGAGTTTTCTTATATCTTTAGGAAATGGGCTACTCTGTATCTCTTCTGGTGCCTTGGACAGCCCCTTCTGATAATTTATCATGCAGATTGTTTTGGCTTGGCGTTTTAATTGAAAATATGGTTAGTCACATATTGTATCACTTATTTTTAATATTTATTTTCATTTTATTTATTTGGACGTGCTGGGTTTTAGTTATGACATGCACCAATGGAAAGATCCTTGCAGAATCTTTAGTTGTGGCATGTGGGATATAGATCCCTGACCAGGGATCAAACCTGAGCCCCTTGCATTGGAAGTGCAGAGTCTTAGCCACTGGACCACAGGGAAGTCTCTACATATTGTGTCACTTGTTATTGTAAGTTCACAACTTTTTCTTTCTACTTTAGGCTTCTCTCTCTCGCTCTCCCCTGCCTCCCTGCTCCCCGTCCCCTAAGACTGCACGGGGGCACTTAAATGGGAATTGGCTCTAATTCTGCTACTGGATTCTCGGCATTATAATTTCTAATCTATTTGCCAAGCTCTTTGCCAAGTAACTTCCAAAGAAAAAAGGTTTCACCTCCTCACTTTTATGAGTAAGACACTAATGCAAATACATCCCATCTGTTAACCTTTTTGTATTCCCTTACTACATGTAGAAGTATTTTGCCTAAGCTACATGAAATATTCTATGGGTAATGAGCCTTGTGTTTTCATAAGTGCATAGTGTCTTTAAAACATGAGTGAATCCATTGCTAAAATATTTATAGTTTAGTCAACAAACACAGACTTGAAGAGTGATCAGTTGTGGTAACAGGCATCCAAATCTTACAAATATTTTGAGGAGTATATTACCTTACACGGTAGATACCGTCAGTCCTGAAACACTGCTTCCATATTTGGAAATTAAAACCTTTGTTGTTCTGTGACAGGAAGGGGGCACAGCACCAGTGAAAAGTGCCATCTGGACCAGGACTCCAGGAGGGAGAGAACGGGGAACAAATGGCAGATCAAAAGTCTGGATCAGAAACTCATGCAGCATTTAGAGTAGGTCTGAGCACGATGTGCCTTTGATTTCAAAGACTGCTCCGTGCCTGGATGAGTTTTGTAGACTGTGGAACATGGCAAAAATTGGTCCTAAGGGAAGGCAGAGAACATTGGGTGACAGAAGGCAAAGATCAAGTTCGCGAAGGAAGCATTAACCAGTATATCAGGATCTGAGCTCCATTCAGTAAGCGTTCTGAAAACATGCTGGTGGCACTCAGCTATTGAGTAGGGCTTCCAATTCTGCAGCATTGGAGGTTAGCCTCTGGAGGGCTGGGGGTTGATAATATTGTCTGTCAGTAAGAAAGAAGTGGAGAAACTTTTTATTTATTTTTATTGAGGCATAGTTGACTCACAATATTATATAAATTTCAGGTGTATAATATAATGATTTGTTTACAGTGTTTAAAGGTTATACTCCATTTATAGTTAGGATAAAGTATTGACTATATTCTGTGTCTTCTATGATATATCCTTGAAAGTGAAAGTGTTAGTTGCTCAGTTGTGTCCAACTCTTTTGAGACCCCATGGACTGCAGTCAACCAGGCTCCTCTGTCCATGGGATTCTCCATGCAAGATTACTGGAGTAGGTTGTCCTTTCCTTCTCCAGGGATCTTCTGACCCAGGGATCGAACCCTAGTCTCCCACATTGCAGGCAGATTCTTCACTGCTGAGCCACCAGAGAAGCCCCTACAATATATCTTTGGAGCTTATTTTATACCTAATAGTTTGTGCCTCTTAATTCCCTGTCCCTCTATTACTTCTCCCCACTTCCCTGTCCCCATTTGTGACCACTAGTTTGCCCTCTGTATCTGCAAGTTGTGGGTATTGGTTCGACCCATCTATTCTGAAGATTTTTATCTTTTCTGGAAATCTTTGTTTCTTGTTTCTATCAATACTACTTCTCTCTATTCTCTTCTTGAAATTCCTATTAGGCAAATGTTGAAACCTTTGAATTTTTTTCCCACCCATATTTACTTTTCTGTCCTTTCTGAGCTGTGTTCTAGGAGGATCTTTAGTTGAATCTTCTAGCTAAGTAATCAATCCTTAGTTATATCTTTTCTGTTACTCGGCACATTTACTGAGTTTTTCAGACTTTTTCAATAATTACAACCTTCCTTTCAAAGATCCCTAGTTCTTTGTAATATGTTTCTATTAAAACAGACATTATCTTCTTATTCCTCTTAAGATGTTAATCATATGCAACGTGCTCAGTGGTGTCCAACTCTCTGTGACCCCACGGACTAAAGCCCACCGGGCTCCTCTGTCCATGAAATTTTTCAGGTGAGAATACTGGAGCGGGTTGCCATTTCTTACTCAAGGGGATCTTTCCAACCCAGGGATCAAAGCTTCGTCTATGGAGTCTCCGGCATTGGCAGGCAGATTCTTTATCACTGCTGCACCTTGGTATACCATGTGGTACACCATATGTACCATACATACTTTTAAAAAAATCTCATTTTTTAACTTTGTTTCTATGGATATTAGTTTATCTATATGATGGTTATGGTCCCTTTCATTCAAAAGATGATGTCTTCCCAACCCAGGGATTGAACCTGAATCTCCTCAGGGATTGAATCCTGCATCTCCTGCATTGGCAGGTAAATTCTTACCATTGAGCCACTCTAAGGTTTTAAAGAATTACTTTTCCTTAAATATTTGCTGGGTTTGGGGACTTCCCTGATAGTCAAGCAGTTAAGACTTCATGTTCCTTAATGCAAGGGGCACAGTTCCATCCCTGCTTGGGGAAGGTCTCACATGCCACATGGTGTAGTACAAAAAAGAAAAAAGAAAAAAACATTGCTGGGTTTGCATGATTATATGGGATCTGGGCTCCTAGGTTAGTCTGTCTCATGCGATGTGTGATTACCTGGCTTGTTTCTAGGATTCCAGGCAGCGATGTGGCCTCCTCAGTGATGGAGGCTTCCCTTTTCTTCTGGGTGGCAGTGAATTCTGTCCCAAGCCCTGAATACCAGGAGGGACATCTTCCTGGTTGTGCATCGCTTCTGTCTAGGGACACAAATCTCTCCTGGTCCTGCATGGCACTAGGAGAAGGTCCAAGGGTTCGACCTTCCTGGATGCCTCTGCCTCAGCCAGTCATCCTGCTGGTTGACCCTGGATCCTCTCTTTTCATCTATTTTCTCTCAGCTTGAAGCCCAAGCTGAGATACTCTCACGCTCTTCATCAGCTATCTCTTTTGTGTGTTTTGGCCATTATTTCTTCTTTCAATATAAACTCCTCTGCCGTTAATATTTTAGGAACTTTATTATAATTTCTGATCTATTGAGGGCACCAAGTCTTCTTTTCTTGTGCTGTTTTCAATTTAAAGTATTTTCTTACTGTTCATGGGGATTGGAGATGAGAGAAGCATGTTCTTAGTTTGCAATTTTGATCTGATTACCTCCTGGTCTATTACAAAGCAGGCTAGCCCAGTTTAAAGAAAGTACATCAGTGTATCTGGCAAGTAATGTTTATTCCTATGACCGAATTCTACTGGAAATTTACACTGTGAGTTTATGTTAAATATATTAACATTTATTACTTTCCTGTTTGTGAATGCCTATTTTGGCCTTCTCAAAAAATCATGATATATATCAGTTCTAATTTTTCCAGTGGTCATGTATGGATGTGAGAGTTGGACTGTGAAGAAAGCTGAGGGCCAAGAAATTGATGCTTTTGAACTGTGGTGTTGGAGAAGACTCTTGAGAGTCCCTTGGACTGCAAGGAGATCCAACCAGTCCATCCTAAAGGAGATCAGGCCTGGGTGTTCATTGGAAGGACTGATGCTGAAGTTGAAACTCCAATACTTTGGCCACCTCATGCGACGAGTTGACTCATTGGAAAAGACCCTGATGCTGGGAGGGATTGGGGGCAGGAGGAGAAGGGGACGACAGAGGATGAGATGGCTGGATGGCATCACTGATTTGATGGACCT